TCTTTTGCGGAATTCCGGCAGCCGCTTGGTTAATTGTCTAAAATCGACGAAGGACTCGAAAACACTGATAACTAAACAATATTAAACCGAAGTTTTGCAACCGTATGTACAATCTTTATATTTATACTTATACGCATAATAAAATTGGAGTGTTTCTATGTATTTTATATCGAAAAAAATAACAAATATTTCATAGACTTTTTGTACTCATTTGAATTGTCTGTATTAAAACTCTTACAAAATCCATGATTTCAATATCAACAGAAGATATTCTCATGATATTTAAACGCTAAAGGCCTCTAGCAACTAAACTAATACTTTAAGTATATTTTCGTCAGAGCAATATTTTACGATGCACGCGTTTTCCTTATATATGTAGCGTATTATAAAAAAAAATTACCACGCGTATTACAGCATACCTGAAAAACAGAAAAAGACAAGTTAAAAGTTTAATATTTTACATTATCAAAAATAATAATGCCTTAGAATTCCTAAAAGAAATCCTAGTAAGCATACGCCACACACATTAATCATCATATACTCCAAAGAGAATGTTTTCAAAAATACTGATTAGGAGGATTCAAAGAAATCGCTTGTGTAACTTTCAGACTTTGGATTTTTCGTTAAAACAACATAAATCGTATGATTGTTATGGCCCTTATGCATAAAACGTTTTAAGGGTTACGTTGTTTGGAGTAAATAGTTTTAGATTTCTTAACAACTAGAGATATCTATACTCTATACTAATATCATAAAAAGGTAATATTTGTAATTTTGTATGTATTGAAATAAATGAAAAAGTACTAAGTCGATTTCAAAAATTCTTTCACCATTAGAAAGGTAATTTATCTGTAAGTAACATAGGCTATATTTTTGAATTTCACGTAGATTAGGTCGTGATCAACAGCTAGTATGATATAAAATATTCTTACATAAAAACTGAAATTACGATGATACGAATGTTCGTGACGAAAATAGAGGCCCAAATAAAAAAATATGGTATTATTTGTACCGGCGTTCCGTCGCTCTTCGACTAAATGTGCTTCGATAGTATCTGTGGAGCATACTAGTGATACAACCTGAAAATGATGTTAATTAAGTTGTAATTAACACTAAGTTTACGGGCGTTTCTTATATACCTATATAGGTATAGGAAAGATTCCAGTCTTGCCATAAATATTGAAACAAAGATTTTTTTCTATTACAAATATCATTTATTATGTTTGCAGTGTGTTAGTTTAATACATAAATATAAAACAATTTTAAACATAAAAAGCTTATTCGATTTGGTATCCATTGGCTGCAATATAGTCCTTTAGGTAATCGTTTAGGAAAGATATCAATAGAAGCACGCGCTTTGTGCATGGGTAAGTACTTCAGTGCCAATCGTATGGAATGTTATAAGGACTCCAAATTATCACGGCGTTTAGAGGAAGCCGTATTCTTTCAAACTGACCACAAATCATAATACAGCGAATTAAGATCGGCACTACACGACGGCCAATCTTCAGCTGTGATGAAGTCCGAAACGTTTGTTTCCAACCAAGACTGCGTAGACCGAGTTTTATGACCCGGGTCCGAGTCTTGCTGGAGGAACCATTCTTCGTTATTGGACAATGTGTTGTTAAGAGGCTTCTCAAGAATAGTATCTTGATACACTTGTGCCGATGTTTTAATACTTTTATTCACAAAACAAAATAACGTTACACTAAAAAGTAACTAAATAATTCCCTAAAAATAGTAAACCTACCTTATTGTAGCTGTTATGTTTATATTGTACAATTAGTATTACTTTGATGTCGGTGTCAGCCGAGGTATGCAGTGATATTTCTACGTAAGGCTTTCTACATTTTTAGCATAACAATTGACAATTGAAAGTATAGTAACGATTAAGTAATGAATCAACATTGAAGTCGGTCAAAAATTATATTGTACCGATTTGCTATGCTATCTATGCCAAGGGCAGCTTTAGCAATACTTACATTCAGAATGATGGCTAAGTATACCATAAGTTTTAAAATTTTAGTCCATGTGTTAAATGCTTCGTTTTTCAGCAGCAGAGGTCTTCGGTAATGAAGTGTACATAAATCTGCGTCACGCCTGAAACAGTAATATGGAATATGCAAAATAAATATTAACTTCTTGGGGATTGTCGCAGAGGCTATCCGCAAAAGAATTTTCCTGGAGACGACCTCATCAATATTGTAATATATCTAACAACAAACATTTTCATTTCATCTAGGACTTACTGACTTCCCTGTATTTTATGTAATTCTAACTAAATAATTTGTTGCCTAATTTTGTTCATTAGCTCATAGTAAAGCCATTAATTTAAGTAATATGTAATTAAATTGAATTGATGTTAACCTGAGGTCGTACATGTTGAAGAACAATGTAACTACTATGGTCGGCGGCCACGCATATCCAAAGGCGATAATCAAAGTGAACTGCATTACTGGAATACAATGGAAAGATTAGCTAGTAAATTGAAATGTAGCGCAATGAAGACTCAAAATTTCTTTAACTGCAGCTATTATTATTTCAAAAATAAAACAATACAAGTAATGCCGGCAACGCATCTGTAGTTCCTCTGGTGTGGCGGATGTCCCTGGGCGTCGTTGACCACCTTGGTGTTCACGCCTTTCCTTTGCCCCCTTTTATTATAAAAAAAAAGTTAAATTACCAAGAATTTTCATTTTATTGATAAGAAATTTTTCTGTAAATGGAGGTAAAGCGAATTCTCTCTCCCAGCACGGAATTTTCTGGGCTATTGATCGTTGATTATAATCAGTTAAACTGAAAAAGTAATCATATTAATATTAATACGAAAGACAACACATTTTAACAAACGTTAATATGTATCTCCAAAACTGTTTAATGGACATCGATGAAAACAGATATAGAACATGGTATGGAAGAAAATATACATAGATTCCTTACCTTAGTATAGCATAAGTTCTACCAATTTCTGAATCTATACACTAGTTTTCTAGTCAGATTTGACTAATTGCTATACTTTAATCTTACTAACATGTAATATAAATGTGAAAGTTTAAATCAAAGGATACTCGTCGGAGTTTGTAGCTTAAACTGCTTAACGAATTTCAATGAAATTAGGCAAATAGAGTTTGGAAGAACATATAGCCTACTTCTTAATAGTTACGATTCCCGTGGGATACATTAATTCTGTTTTTTCATGTAACTTGATAATTCTGCAACGATTCAACATATCGTATTGAATTATTGCACAGATATAAAACAATGTATGTATATGATGGGATGCGTTTCTTCCCCGAAAAATGTCAGGCCCCCGAGGATACGTAGTTTGTTTTTCATAGTTCTTATGGGTTTTTAATACTTCGCGGACAAAGTCGAGGGCAATGGCTAGCACTAGCTTAGATAAATAAATTACAATAACATTCGCATTTATTTGCTTACCTTGAGTAAAATGACAATTTTCTCAATAAGACAAATCTTAAAAGTAGAACAACTGTAAATGAAAATGAAAGCTCGTAGAGGCACGATGTCATCACACACAAGTTGTCATATAAAGAAAAATTGTATTCCGTTGGTGATCCGTATTCGTGTACTTTCTCCACACCAGTCCACAGTTTAAAAATTTTCTGTAAAATTTAAAATAGGTATGTACTACATACTTTTTTATATATATCATAAGGCAGCAAGCGGCCTGAATTTGACGAATAGCAAAGCGACTGT